CGTCGAATATACTTTTGCGTCGACGGATTGTGGGGAAACAACAATTGTTCCTTTCGGACGGTTTTTGCTGTTCCGTTTGGCTGGAACAGATTCCACAAAAGGCCAAACTCCAATTTTCCCGTCGAACATTTGCTTCCGGTGAAAGTCATAACGCGGGCGGGGCCACGGCCGCCAAAAACATCACTTTAGTAATGAAGTGTTTAGATTTGCAGAACCGGGCTGCCAGTTCCTCGTCCTCGTAGACAAAGTATTTTCGTTTTACCTTCGTCAAATAGAACCATTTTTCGTCGATATGAACATTATCGTACATATTTTCAAAAAATAGCTTCCATTCGACGAAGGTAAAAGAAAAGACAATGCGTACCGTAGTCGGGCTTGAATGTTGTCGGGTGTCAGGAACGGCTTAATGTAACTTGATCGTGCCTTCAAACGTCCAGTCTCTTGCATATAGCGTCCAATCGTGCGATGAGGGATACCAGACTTGAACGCCAGTGCCCGCATCGTTTGCCGCGATTCTTGGGGGCTTGGCGGATTGCGGCTTCAATCTCGTCCGCAGAACGCGTTCTTTTGCGACCAGAGTTTCCTAAATCAGTACAACCTTAAAACTTGATACTTCTCAAAGATAATAGAATATAGAATCATGGAGGCTTTACCTGCAATTTTTGACGCGATATCGGCAACACCCCTGCCATTGCGTGAGGATGCACGGCCACGGCTCCAGATACGGGAGATGGTCCGCGAATCACACTGAAACTGTTGTGCTACATATAGCATGGTGCCACGGGGTAGTTGGCCTTGAACGCATATCTCCACGAGCAGCTCGTAGATGCGATGACGTTGCGCGAGGGTCAAGTGCTTCTTCCCACGGACACGAGGTACGACTGTAGAAGCGACTTTGGGGGACATGTTGGTTTGCTGGGGCATTGCTTGGACGATAGTAAACGATGGACAGTGATTGATTGATATCAAATTGAAAACTATTGACGTAGAGGGTCAGCTCGACTGCGGACTCAGTGACGTGCCAAGTTTGGCGCTCAATAACTCTGGAACCAAGAGGGTCCAGAACGATCGCAAATAACCCAATCAAAGCAGAGTTCTTGCGCTTTTGAATGCACCTATCAGCACCAATTAAATCGTACTTTTAGAAAAATTCCGCCAATGAGAACATGGAGGCGACAACTATTATGCGCCAGAGTAGTATTAATTTTTTAGATTGACAAAACTTATTGTTTCGTACGTCAATTTTGAAACATCAATACACCATTGGTTAGGTATACACCATTGGTTAGGTCTTGGCGCACTCTTTGCGTTGAGCCATCAAAGTGGTAATTTAATACGCCGGAATGTAAACCCTCCTCAGACTCATGCAATTAATTTGGGACGCCCAGGGACGAACGATGGTTCGTCGCTGGTGGTGTACATCGTATACCACGGCGTGTCTTCCTGGTTCTTCACAAGGGCAACAGTGCGTAAGTTCGGCTGCTGTAGCAGCCCGTGTATTCGAAGTGCAAATTCTACGACGTTTTCGGCGACATCGGGCCCAGCATGCTGCAAAGACCGCTAGCAGAGCTAGGTGCATGGTGGACAACCAATGCAGTATGGTCCAATCAGACGTGAATAGGAATAGAATTTGGTCTGTGTTTTGGTTGCAGTATCTGTGTTTTGGTTGCAGTATCTGTGTTTTGGTTGCAGTATCTGTGTTTTGGTTGCAGTTCGGTACCAAATCAAATCGCAAACGCGTTTCGGGAAGGAAGGAATTTACGGCTACGTGTAGCTCTATCTGGCTAACTAGTCTACAGATTTTCTATATTTGCCTTTGACGAGTTCGCATCCGTGAAACAAGTTCGGTGTCCGTTCGGGATGGGGCCAGCTGTGGGCAGTGTTGGAGGATGAGGCGGGTGAGGTTGCGCCATTTCGTTTTGTGGAGGGCAAGTAGGCGCAGGTGGTGGTTGTCTTGAGAGTTAAGTACGCGCAGAAAGTGGTTCATCCCCGGAGGTCGTCGTCTAGGATGGTCGGTAGGTGATGAGATAGTATCCAGGCCATTTGGCGGTGGGTTGGGGGTGGAAGGAGTTCACCATGTGGATGTTTGCGGAGAAGTCATGCGACCGGCGGAATATGTGTCCGAAGAGGCGCCAGTGGGCATGCAAGTGGGTGAACCGGAGGGGTTCACAGTCACAGCGCGTGTACAGCGCGGGGTTGGAGATCCTGTTGGGGTGGAAGAGTCGAATGATGCAACGAAGTTGGCGGTGATGGAAGGCCTCGAGGCGAAGCAGTTGGGCATTGGTGAGTGCCCAGGTGCCTTAGTTGTATGTGAGTATGGGGATTACGTAGCATTTGTAGATACGGAGGCGTGTGGCTTCGGCGACGTGGGCGTCACGGAACCAGAGACGGTGCATGCCGTGGAAGCCAGCCCGGGCGAGGATGTAGCAGCGTTGGAGCTCAGCGGAGTCGTCGAGGTAAGTGCTGAGTTTCTTGCACGTTCTCCAGGTGGTCGTGTCGGTTTGGTCGGTTGGGCCGATGGGCTTGCGTTGGACGAGGGTGTGTTCAGTCTTGCCGAGGTTCATTTGCAGCGCCACGGGGTAAGGATCGCATGGGCCGAGATAGCGTCCATTTCGTCAGTGCTGGTGCACACAGGAAGTCGGTGTCGTCAGCATAGGCGATAGTGCGGCTGAGGAGGCAACCTCAATGTAGACTACGAAGAGGACGGGTGAGAGGGAGTCCCGTTGGGGAACGCCGGTATTGGTGGGGAAAGGTGCGCGGTTCAACTGTTGGCTGCGGAGGGACAGGGTGGTCGAGGCCAGGAGGAGGCGGGTGAGACGGAGCTCGTTGTTGTCGAGCAAGGTCTCGAGAACGGTAATCAGTTTGGCACTGTCGACGGTGTCAAAGGCGCCGGAGAGGTCGATCCCGAGGACGTAGTGATTATCCTTGTACTTGTTGGCACGCGCCACGAGCCATTTGTAAGTCCAGACGGCGTCGGCAGTGCTGCGGGAGGGGCGGAAGCCACTTTGGTAGGGGTCGAGGAAAGCTTCGACTTTGGCAGAGATGCGGTGGAGGGTGATGAGGGAGATGGCCTTGCGGATGCTGATGAGGAGGACGATGAGGCGGAGGGACGAGCAGGCGCCAGGGGCTTTGTTCGCCTTGGAGAGGTAGGTCAGGGTGCCGGCCGCAAGGGAGAGGGGCTGGCCAGTGGAGAAGCTCGCATTCAGGAGGCGTGCGGAAGGGAAGGCCAGGAGGAAGCGTCCATGCTTCAGGATTTCGCCTGGGACGTCATCCGGGCCGTAAGCGCGTTCGTTGCGGAGGCGGCTGAGGGCGCATTCGTCCTCAAGCGGGATATGGGGGCGGTGAGAGGGCGAGGGGTCGTGCAGGGGGTGAGTTCGCGGTGCGGATCGTTGAAGAGGGCTTCAAAGTGGGCTTGGACGCAAAGGTGGGAAGTGTTCGGGTTTAGAATGTATGGCCGTGGGTGTTGGTGACGGTAATTCGGGGAGTTGCTCGGTGGAGGAGGGAGCGCACGGAAGAAAACATGCGTGCGTGGGTGCTGTGTTATTCCATTTCGAAGGCGATGCGGTCCAGGCGTTCGTTGGCGAGGGTGCGGCAACGGTCGCGGATGGCGTGAAGGAGGGGGTCTTGATGTCGGCGATGTCGATGGGGGGAGGCGGCTCTCGTGTTGGAGGCGCATGCGGATCCGGCGTTGTTCGGCGGACAGGGGGTGCAGGATCGCGTCGTCGGGGCGATGTTTTGGCGGCTTGGAGCGTGAGGTCCAAGCGTGCTTGAAGTTTTGTGGGGGGTAGCACGTGAGTGGTGAGAAGGTGGAATAGTCTTTGTTTATAGGAGATTTGAGTTGTGGGGTCAGCCAAGGAGGAGAAGTCGGGGATCTGTGGGAGGCGGAAGTTCCGGTGCGATCGGGAGTCAATAACGGTGACGTGGAAGTCGGCGGTGACCTGTTTGTGGTCGGAGGGTGTGAGCACGCCACCCCAGGATTGGGCGTTGGTGCAGTAGCGGCAATCGTCTGGAGCCCAAGGATGCAATCGATTTGGTTAAGCAGGCGGTGCGTGTCGCGTGGTTGGCACCAGGTGGTCAGGTGGGTGGCGCGCATTTGGAATAGGGTGTTGAAGGCCACGAGCTTGAGCTCATCGCAGGCGTTGGCGAGTAGGTGGGCGGTAAGGGTGCCTCGGGTCCATCGCCCCATGAAGTTGTCGTGGGAGGTGTTAAGGCCAAGTTTGGCGATGATGTCGCCGCATAGGATAATGGTGTCCCTGGAAGGGAGGGAACAGTAGGCGGAGCGGAGTAAGTCGCAGAAGTCGTGTGATTCAGATGGTGGGCAGTCCATGTGGGCGTTGGCTGTGATGACGTTGAGGCGTTGGTGACGGAGAGATTCACTTGGACGATGGCGATTCGATCAGTATGGGTCGAGTAGGACTGGGGGCCGCTGCGAAGGTTGGATGCGATGACGAAACTCACTCCATGTTATAGTTTAGAGGGGAGTAAGGGCATCAGATAACCGTTGATTTCGGTCTGCTGTTGGTGGGTCATGAGTGTTTCCTGGAGTCCTAGAATATCCACGTTACACCGGTCGATGTCTGAGGCGATTTCGGGAAGGAAGGAGTTTACGGTTACGCTTAGCTCTATCTGGCTAACTAGTCTAGAGACTGGCTATATTTGCCTTTGACGAGTTCGCATACGTGGAACAAGTTCGGTGTCCGTTCGGGATGGTGCCAGCTGTGGGCAGAGTTCGAGGATGAGGCGGGAAGGCGGTGCGGAATGAGTCGTAGAAGTCGTGTGCTTCATATCGTGGGTGGTCCATGTGGGGGGCGTAGGCGGTGATAACGTTGAGGCGTTGGTGACGGGAGAGGTTGACTTGGGGGATGGCGATGCGATAGGTGTGTGCCCAGTAGGACTCGAGGCGGCTGTGAAGGTTGGGAGGGAGGGAGCGGGAGTTGAAGGAGCCGATGCGGAGCGAATGGATGCTTTGGCTGGGCACTGGGTCCACTGAATGGACGTAGAACTTGTTTACTGTTGACTTGCGAGCGGCCGAGGCCACGCGCGTAAGGCGCGGTGACATTCTGTCAGCCGTTCCCCCGACCAGAAAAGGCGATTATGACGATATCTCTTTCATTTTAAATCCGCATTCGTCCGGCAAATATCCGTCATATGAAGCTCTATCGATTGCGAGTAATTTGAGGACTGGAAGCCAAGTTACGGCAGAAATACGGTCGATATGCTGCTTGGGGCGGCGAAAGCCATCCCAACCACGAAGCTCGTGTTAGGCCTTAGGTATGGCGTTTAGGAAGCTACAACGAACCTGCTCAGGCGTGATCTTTTCCCATGTCAGAATCGCTCTCTTGATCATGGTGATGCGCTTCACGTGAGCTGCTGGTGACATCCAGTCTTCAGTATTGTCGTCGTCAGCACTGGCCATGCCTTCTGCTATCCACAGGTCCCGAAGATGGCGCTTGAATGGTGCCATAACGGAGACATCCAACGGTTCGTATTGCGACGTTGCGTTGGGCAAAAGTGGGCAAACGTCGAACCCCACCAAGTTGGCAGTGGACACTCTTTGTTCGCTGACGTGTGCGTCAAAATTGTCGAGAACAAGGACCGACTTCGATGTCACCCGATCGGCAAGCACAAACCAAAGGTACTGCTCCCAAACAGTTGCGTCCATCCATGCTTTCTTCTCCATGGCGAATACGTACAGTAGTAGCCGCTTGGATACGTTGGGACTTCGTAGGTATCAATTCGTCCTCCCGCGCTTAGCCCTTGATCACAAAGAGTATTGGTAGCTTAACCATCTCGGCGAACAGTAAGGACGGCCATCATGTGGTAAGGGGGCTGTTCACCCTTCGAGAGCTTCCCCCTCGTCGTGATGTATCGTGGCGGCATGTCGTACTTAGTGCCATTCTCATCAACGTTGTAGAAGCAGTCGTCAGGAACGTCGCCGAATTGCTCGTGAAATTGACTTTCCAATGCAGCACGTGTGCTTTCAAGGTCGGTGATAACTTGTTTGGGTGTAGCCGTGTCCCCCATAAAAATCTTGTAGGAGTTTCAGCGAAGTGTCGTATCCGCAGCCGTCCTTCTGTCGCGCGATGTACTGCTGTAACCACGACTGCTGGTGTCGTTTCTGGTATCTGGTAGTTCACCATATGACTGCAAGTCAACGATTGATCTTGGTGACGCCGACTATCCATAAATGCCAACAGTTGGCGTCACCTGAATGCCAACAGGTCCTCCGGTTGCGGTATGATGGTGGGTCGACCAGCTCCAAGTAAGTTTGACGACTTCTTGTTTTCCCTTGAATGCGAGCAGTTTGTCTGTGTAATGATGGCAAGGTTGCCGACCAAGAATACAGCTTGTCGCATCGTTACAACCGGGGGAGAATGTAATGATGGCAAGGTTGCCGACCAAGTATACAGCTTGTCGCATCGTTAAGAGAACGATGGCAAGACTGTCGAACAAGCTAAAGATTGTCGCACCATTAGCGGGCAAGGCCGTTGAAGAAGCCGTAGAGAAAGAACATTTACTTTATGTAGTTTAGTATAGTATACATTTTCGTAGTTAGTAGTTTAAGACGACAATCTAATCACTTTCCAATTTACTCTGTGAAGCTCGCTACCGTTACATTTGGTAGCACTTCCTGGTTCAGTTCGGCAGCAAGGACTTACACTGAGGGGCATAGC